CTGAAATTTTGCACTGAGCACTGAGCTGCACTCAGCAAGTTTTCCTATTTCATCTTTTTTTCTGAATCCCAGCTCGCCGGATCTCAATCCTATGGATTATTCTGTCTGGTCCGTCCTTGAGGCAAAAGCCTGCTCAAAGTCGCATAAAAATGTTGAAAATTTGAAGAAAAGCCTTCTGACAGCTTGGGATGAACTCGATAATGCTTACTTGGTCGCCACCGTGGACTAGACTTGCTTATTGATATTATCGATACAAACGGCATGCTCGTGTTTGACCGTTCAGATCTCCGTTTCTACGCTTTGTAGAAAACTATGGAATCACGCGTTTTTTGCAAATATTGTTTGCTTCAGCCGTTGCTTTTACCCCAAAACGTATTTATAACATTTATAAATATGTTATTTCAACGCTCTCAAGACTGCCATTCTAGACACCTGGGGAAGGCTCGAGGCGAAGGCTAAATGATCAAATAAAGTATTAAGTGTTTTTTTCAGGTTAAAATAAACTGATTTCATAGTTTTTTACAAGTGAAAATCGTGTGTTGTACGAAAATGTACCTTTGACGTATGAAAATCCCGGTTTCTGTTTTTCCCTATTATTCTTATAACGAAATAACATATTTATAAAAGTTTTGGGGTAAAAGCAACGGCTGAAGCAAAAAATATTTGCCAAAAACCCGTGATTCCATAGCTTTTTTCTCCAGAGTATAGAACAGCGATCAAGCTACAAATTTTTTGATTGGAAAGTCAAGAATGTTAGCTTTTAATTTGAATTTGATACATAGGGACTTTCAATGAGTAATCACCTCATAAACTTTATCGATACGTATCGATATCGAAAGTATTGATAAGTATTTTATAATAGGCTTTTCAGGGCACCCACCTATGAGAATTTGCTATGTATAAAATCTCAATATTCTTGGCCTGAGCTGATATTCTTGGCTTTCCAATGAAGCAATTTGCAGCTTGATCTCTGTTCTAGAAACTGAGATCTGAACGGTCAAATATGAACTTGTATCGATAATATCGATAAGCAAGTCATGACCATGAGCACCTTTCCTAAACGTTTGACAGGCGTGCTCGACAAAAAATGATGATCGCTTTGAATCTAATTGTGAATTTGTTGTTCATTGATATCAAATAAAGATTTAAAAACAAAAAAGTTTTTCTCTAAAGTTTAATTTTGTCGACCTACAAAGCTTTTTATCTGCACCTATAGTTATGGGCCAGCCTGTATTCACCTCGACGCTCCCCTCTGCACTCTCAAGCTTTCTCAGCTGCGATCGGAGATCTCCAAGTGAACAAAACTCGGTGAGTATCAACGTCCTCTCTTGCCCAGTCAAACAGCCCAATAAAGCGAGAAGATGTTCATGGTAGCCGATCGCTTTCAGTGTCTTGATCTCCATTAACATCCGTTTTCTGAATGGGAATTGTTTTCGGGTAAACAGATTTCTCTGAACACGAACTCTCAAGGGTTTTTAGCAAAATACATAGGTAACTTGGTGAGTACAAGCTGTTTGGCTTAACCCAGCAGGAGCCTGATCATGGCTTTTAAGCTAGGTCAGACACTTCAAATTAATTAGTAAAAAAACAGTAGGTAGTAAAGTGGATATGCCATATGTAGTAGCCGATTTGAAACAAAACTTTAAATGCTAATTTCCAGCAATACTAAATGCAAATAAAACACATAAAAACTGACTGATCCACGTTTCTCGACGAGCTCTTCACCGCCACATCGTGGCCGCTGTTATTTTTTTTGGGAGGGAGATTGTCCTAGAACATGGCATATAAAGATCCTCTTTAGGACCGGATCACATTCGTTTCAAGACCAAATCCTATTTAGGACCAAATGAGATCCTATTTAGGACCAAATGAGATCCTCCTCAGGACCGGATCAGATCCTTACGATCATTTTCTACAACAAGTCAACCACAAACCACTTCATAATGCTGCAGCTTTCCGTAATAAGAGCCTCGATTTATGGTCGCTTTTGCGCTCTTCGAAATCAATTCTTTTGTTGTCAACGATTTCTCATCGATTTCCCATTGGCTCCCCGAAACGGAACTGAAAGATTTTTGCTAAAATTAATGGAAAGCGTTTTGCAAACTCGTGAGCGCCGAGCACGCCTTGTTGATTGTGGGCCAGACGATCGATTTCTTTTGTGCTTTTTTGAGCTTTTTTGGGTCGAAATCGAAGTAGGAAGCTGAAATTTGCTAATAATACAGAGTTCGGCATAATGCTGCACGCTACAAAAGTATGATTTTCTCAAAAAACAAAAATCATTTGACAGTTTTCTCATTTAGATATTTAAAATCTACGGACATTTTTCCCCTCCATTCATGAGTTTGTGTAAAAATTTAGAACTTCATTCGCTTCATATAAGACTTTAAACGCGATTGCTGCTCTCGAAAAAACGAGATTTGCCAAAAATGTGCCCAAGATAACCTCGCGTTTGCAATAATGAAGCTCCAAAAACATTTACTTTACTTAGTAATTACCGTATTTACTCGAATAGAAGACGGGCCTCGATTATAAGACCGTCTCGAATAGAAGACGGGGTCAAAGGGATGATCGAAAAAATAGAAGACCGTCTCGAATATAAGACCAGTCTTATAATCGAGGTACCCTGTTTTCTATTCTGCGCGAAAGTGGACGTACTCAAATACGGGAAAAGAATAAGGGAATTTATCCAATAGGGTAAAAATATTATATTTTCATTCAATAGCACTATTTTTTTGATATTGTTCTACATATTGTATTAATAATTTTTTTTGGTACTCTTCCATTATACCTCCGCCATCTCCACATTTCCGTCATTTTGACTCTGATTATTTTTAATTATTTGATTATCTGATCATTTTTATCTAAAAACTGGCGGGGTATAACGGAAATGTGGAGTTGGCGGAGGTATAACGGAAAAGTAGCATTTTTTTAGGGGATCGGAGGTGCTACGAAACGAAAAACCTACAGTGCCGCCTTTAAACTCGAGGCCATTCGTTTTTCAAAGAAAAACTCGAAAGAGGCGACTGCTCGATAGTTTAAGGTGACTCCAAAGATGATTCGAGACTGGACGGCAAAAGAGGAGTCGCTGCAAAAGGAATCGAAAGGAGCGAAGCGGTTAAAAGGAGGAGGGCGAATGCTTAAATTTCGCGCAGTCGAGGAGACCACTTATCGATGGATCAAAGAAAAAAGCTAAAAGTTTCCCGATGGATGGTTCAGGACAAAGCCAAGGAGTTTTTTCGCAAATCAAACCTAGATTTCACAAAGTCTTTCTCTGCAAGCAATGAATGGCTTGCGAATTTTTTGTGACGACAAAAAATGACAACAAGGAGTCCAACAGCGAGGATGATCAGATTGTTTGTTTCCGCAATGGGGAAGCTGTTGAGAGTTGTCGATTCAAGCTGGATATTGCAAGATTGGAGGGAAGATTAGCAAAACTTTGTCAAGATATCGACTCCGACGAGGATAGAAACAATGGAGATGAGAGTGAAAACGATTCAATTTCGAGCGCAGAGGGACTTGATGGAATTTGCAAGTTCCAGATTTAATAGAGGATGACATTGAATCAAGTGAGAATGAAGAATAATGTTGTTATTACTGCTTTTTTAATTGTTGTTAATGTTGTTATTAAAGGTTGTTGTTGATAAATTTTGTTGTTAAGTGTTACAATAAATTTCTACCAAAGTTTTTTTTAAACGCTGGTTACTTTCCTGAAAATTTTCGTGAATGCAAATAATAAAAGACCATCTTGAATAGAAGACCGGCCTCGAATAGAAGACGGGGGCTAGGGGGTAATTGAAAAAATAGAAGACCGGTCTTCTATTCGAGTAAATACGGTAACTCTAAAAACGTATTCATGCAGAAAAAGACGCAAAAAGATTCTTTAGAGGCCCCAAACTCGAATTTAACTGTTTTTCAGCATTGTGCCGCATAGCATTTTTTGTACTCGGCTAGGGCTGTCAAAGTCATTAAAAATGTTACGGTTCTTCAATTCTATGTAAAATTACGCATCGATTTTTATGATTAATCGTGGTTTTTCAGCTTAGGCTAATGTATTAGTCTTAGAAAGTCAAAAAGATGCATTAAGCGCAACACAATATATGTCGCACCCTGTATTTACAACTCTACAGATATTCACGTCGAGGGCTAAACTTATACCAAGCTTGTTATGAGGGTTTGAAGCAGCTTTTTGAGAAACTGGGATCTTTAGGAAACCGGGACCGGTCCATTCACATGCTTGACTTACACGAATAAAGTTTTCAACAAATAAGCCGACACACAAATCGGGATCAGCAGCAACAAGTAGAAACTGGCGGTGGCGATTCCGGGGCGCCAAACTGTTTGGGCTTGAAATGAGCACAACTTCTCGTCGGTGACACTCGCGTTGAGGACGAAATTAGCAAAGAACGAGTTGTCGGATCGGTTCGGATTCGCCGTCCACCACAACTGAAATTGAAAACAGTTTGAGGTTTATAGATTTACTTTTTTTATTCAAAACTCAATCATGAAACTTCTCCTTGAACAATAAGCTTTCTGCTTTTGCGAAGATTCCTTTCTTGAGAGCTTTTTCACGAAGTGAGGTAAATAGTGTGAAGATTTTCTTTATCAATGAAAGAGTGGAGAAATTTTAAAGACGAAAGCGTTGACGGGTTTGCGTGTTTTGTGAGCTGTGATGTCGACTAATGGATCGCAAAGCAAAAACATTGCGTCAAGGCTTTTGCTTTTGAGTATTTTGAATAACATGTAACAGGTTGTAGAGTTCAATTGATAAGAAAATTGAAAGAATTATCTAATTGATAAGAAAACTCTTCAGAACTCTAGAATTTAGACTAGATCCCAGAATTTTGGTGTGTAGACGTCAATAGGTGTCAAACGGAAATCACACATTGACCTCCTTAAAGCCAACTTTCTAACGAGTTCTTTTCATCATTGAATAGAGCTATTGAAATGATATTTAATGGTACAAATAATTGTGGAAAGGTTCGGGAAATCATTATAATTTAGACTATTGATCTATCGGTTGTCAAAACCTGAATAGTGGTGGCCACGAAATAGCAGTTTTCACTTGGACTCGTTTCGGTGATTCTGAACAAAAAGAGACACTTGTTTTTCACCAAATTTTCTTCAAACTCAAGAGTTTTGTTGAGTAGCGGCTGGTCGTGGAAACGATTCGTGATCGTAAACTCGAACCGCAACGATCCACCGGTGATTTGTTGGATTTGTGGTGAGACGAAGAAGAGCTCGTCTTAACTCGTTTTGTTTTGATAAGAGTTAAATGTTTTGATATCAATTTGTTGTCGAAGTCTAATACTTTCGAAATTGATTATGATAATTGATGGGAAAACAAACCATTCAACGGGGTCAGCTCATAGATGACATTTTTGGGCTGCATTGAGTAATCGGGCCATCCATCGCTCTTTTCGATGAACACGAGGGGAAGGGATGCATTTAGATAGATGAAATCAATTGATTGGACAAAGTAGAGAGAGAAAAAGTTGAAGAGAGGAAGAAGCTTCAATCGATTGATCATTTTGTTGGTTGGTTAGTGGGGAATTGGTGAAGAAGTGTTTTAGAAGTGAGAGAGAGGGTGAAAGCAAAAATGATAAGTACTAAGCTTTTGCTTTGAGGAAAAAGGAGGATTATTGATGGGAGAGAGTTTTGGGTTGTTGGAGAGTTTTTCTTAAATCATCACCATGCTAAAAATACCCAAAACTTTTCTTTTCTTTTCAAAACGTCTTGATTGATTAGGTGAGGTGATCTTTGACGTTCTTTGACGCTGTCAATTTGCGGTATTCGCAATTTAACACTAAAACAACATATCAAATCGAATAGTTTCGCCCATATTACATTTATAGAGGCAACTGTACAATAGATTTATACAAAACACCTAGAAATCTTAGCTACAGTAAGACGACTTCTTCAGCTATTCACTTCGAGCTTCTTTAAGGCACGGATAAAGCTGTTGTACTTGCGACAAAAAGTGGAACGATCATCACCAAACTGTTGATGCCACATGAAATCGTCCAAGTAGTCGGTGTATCGATCATTGCTTCGAGAGTGTTGATGCCATGTTTGGCTTTGATCATCTTTTTGAACCAATACCACTGGCTCTCGACGTTCTGTGTGTGTGATCCGGTCATCGGGTTCACGAAATTGATTTGATGATTGACCGTGAGGTAGGTTTGAGGCAGCGGACTTCTTCACCGCAAAAGAATGTGTCTAAACTGTCGAAACGACGACAGGAAGCGTTACGTTACCCGTTAGGCTACCTCGCTACCTCGCAAAAAAGCTAGGACAGCAATTGTTGCTCGTTTATGTGAAACTATTGATTTTCCCCCTGATTTCGTCCCAATTCTGTCCAATCTGGCTCTCACGAACGGCCCCGATCACCTCGGTGTCGAGACAGGAAATTTTTCCCGGCTTAAATTGGACAGTTTTCAAGGTTCGCGCAAAGGTTATTTGCAAGTAAAATGGCCATGACACTTGTGTTCTTTTTCAAAAACGAATGGCCGAATGAGCTTAACTCTTTCGAACTTTTAGCCATGTAAAGGTAAGAAACGTATGACGCGTCACTTTCGGCCCCCAAAGAAAATCGGTCGGCTTACGTCGATAATTCCCGGTCTTTCCGTCGATAATTCCCGGTAACTAGGAGGTTTTCAGAAAAGCATTCAAAGCTTTTTCGTATAAGTTTTGACAAACAAAAAATGTTTTATCAAAATTGGGGATTGTTTTATTGAAAAAAATATAGCATGCCTTCAAGATTAGAATTGTTTTTTAAAGTTATTTGAGGCCTTGCTAAAAACAACTCTTCAACAATTAACTTTTTAACACCGCCGCTGTACTCTCTGACATTATGTATGCTTACAATTTGCTTAAACTGAGTCACAAAGACACAAAGGGGGGGGGGGGCACACATTCGATTTTCGATTATATGGGGCATTCGATCATGAGAATCTCAAAAATCAACTTGGGTTTAGATGTTTTTGTGTTAGTTTTTGAAATACTGATGCTTTACACAGCCATATCCGTCGTAAGTGACCTATTTGGCAAAACTTGCAAGTTTGGCTAGTGAGCCACTTGCAAGTAAGGTCCAAGTGGACGCTTGTGAAACCCACTTGCCACTTGCGCACTTGCAAGTGGACGTTGGTGAAAGTCACTTTTCGCAAAAACTTGCGCACTTGACCCCCACTTGCAAGTTTTGGCCAAAAACTTGCAAGTGAAGACGTTGGTGAAACCGGGCCCAAGACAAATACATATGCAATCTTGCCATTTCAAATCGAAAGAACTAAACAAACTTGTTTGAATAAAATGTGTTTTTGCAGCTGTGTTTTTGGAAAATTTCAAGAGACACCAAGCGACACAAAAGAACCAAAAAACTAAACTAAAATTGTTTGGCCAAGCTTTGTTTTCATGTTCCCTCTCTGATAATGGAATATGCAATCGAAACACCGTTCCAATCGACGATTTCATTCTTCTTTCTTCTTCCAACTTTCAATTCTTCCAACTTCCAGCTTCCAACTTCCAGTTTGAGAAAATTCAAAGTCATCAAAGGAATCGCCATCAAGTGCTCTGCGATTTCTGCAGCTAGTACATGAAAGAAATCTAGTTTGAAATCAAAACAGGAAATCATTTCGTTAGCTTTGTAATTTCTAGGATGATCCAGTAGGATCAATCGGCCATCGTCTTCATTTTTGAAAAAATTTGGTAGCACAAGAAAGGCAGTTAAAAGAATTAGCAGTTTGGGCAAGTTTTCAACACTGAATTTAAATGTTGGAATGTACGTTACTCAAGAGGACTTTGTTCCATTATTTACGAGTCGACTCCAAGAAATTACTCGTAGAAAATAAGTGCAGCTTTCCCCTAAAATCAGTCAAAAATCAGTCAAGAAAATGAAAGTGAAATTAGGTTGGGGCTGGAATTTTCCCATGTCTAGTCTACAACTTAGCTGACAATAAATAATAGTGATAAATATTGAGTTGGCAAAAAAAAGTCTTCGGAACGATTTGAACTCGGATTTCGCAAAAACCAAATCCACGAATTCAAGAACACTTTATTCTACTATTGACAAGTCGACTTCAAGAAATTACTTGTAAAAAAGGAATGAATAAAATTGTGCTTTTACTAAAGGAAAATTCTTTCTACATACAAGTTTTGTAGTTTGAAAACAGCTGAGAATGGAAGCGTGACTGGTCGGATTGGGCTCATTTGAGGGCCTGAAAAATGGACTATAAAACTCCAATCAAAGATCTTTTGGTACAGAAATGTAGACAAGAATTCAGGCTTCAATTCTCTATATAACACTTAGGCTTTTGAATTGATTGCGACGTTTGGCATGAAATCTGCTGAAAAGATGTTTCCGTGATTTTAGCGCACCTTAAAATTTCCGGTCCCAACGGAGACTACCACATTATCATGGCTTTCAATTAGCAAACAATTTTCCCGATTTGTTGGAACGATTATCGATCATCCACTATATTTTAGTTTCCAAGAATTTTGACTGCTATTTTAGCGCCGATTTGATGCTTGATTTTGGTTCCTAATAAAGTCTTTTTAAAATGTACTTGAAATATTTCATGATATGAACCAGATTTATTCACCCATCCCTAAACAAAGTACAACAGTAAGAATATAAAAAACAAGACATACACACACTCAGCAACCCTTTGCAATTCTTTGGCTTTCGTTGAAGCTCGAAAGTTTTTGGGTGATCGCCTGGAAGGTCGGTTTGGGAGACAGGCTTTCCAACAGGAGATCTTCCGAACTGGAATTCGGCATTCGTCAATGTCAACGATTCCAAGGCGGTGATCAAAGCATCGTAGGACACCAAGGACGCCAAGGACATTGATTTGAAAGCAATAAGTGTAGCACGCTTCACCGTCTCGCAAACGATCAGCCGAAATCACTACCGCTTCAGGACCCAATACTGGGGTCGCATTTGTGAATGAACGAGGAGGGTTGGCTTGAACCCTTAATCTAGATGCGTTGAGAGAATTGATTGGGAAAATTAGGCGAGCCGTAGCCGAACGTGATTCGCTGCCCTTTTAAGGGATCTCCACGGAGAAGTTCACGACCATGCCAGTTGTCCAGAACTTCGCAAAGTCCCACGGGCAACAGCAACAACAAAAAGGTGGTGGCAAACAGAACACATTCCAGTCTGTCCCACAAAAGGCGCACAATGTGAGGCAAAATGCTTGCGGCTTTTGCCGAACGCAAGACACTCACTGGTCGACTGAGTGCTACCTGCCGGTACAAGAGCGCTGGAGAAAGGCAAAAGAGAACTGTGATATAACTGTCTGCGAGGCGGACATGGTTTGAACCACTGCCGATCAAAAGCATGTAGCACCTGCAACATGCTACACCACACACCGGAAGCGTGCTGGAGACTGGTCGGATTGGGCTCATTTGAGGGTCTGAAAAATGGACCATAAAACTCCAATCAAGGATCTTTTGGTACAGAAATGTAGGCAAGAATTCAGGCTTCAATTCTCTATATAACACTTAGGCTTTTGAATTGATTGCGACGTTTGCAACGTTTGCATGCAATCTTCTGATAAGATGTTTCCGTGATTTTAGTCCATCCTAAAATTTCCGGTCCCAACAGGTCACAACAGACTACCACATTATCATGGCTTTCAATTAGCAAACAATTTTCCCGATTTGTTGGAACGATTATCGATCATCCACTATATTTTAGTTTCCAAGAATTTTGACTGTTATTTTAGCGCCGATTTGATGCTTGATTTTGGTTCCTAATAAAGTCTTTTTAAAATGTACTTGAAATATTTCATGATATGAACCAGATTTATTCACCCATCCCTAAACAAAGTACAACAGTAAGAATATAAAAAACAAGACATACACACACTCAGCAACCCTTTGCAATTCTTTGGCTTTCGTTGAAGCTCGAAAGTTTTTGGGTGATCGTCTGGAAGGTGGGTCGGTTTGTGAGACGGGTTTTCCAACAAGAAGTCATCACTTCCGAACTGGAAATTTATTTGTAAATAGATAAGAACTGAAGATTAGAATTATCCCTTGAATAGGTCTCACATTTGTGTCGGTGTCCGGTGCGGGGGTATCAATCGAAAGCCTTTCTGCAGCTCGCCGAGCAGTCTTGATGGCTCCAGATCCTCGTAGGGCGTGTCACCGAAAGAGAACATTTCCCAGAGAAGAACCCCAAATGACCAGCTGAAAGAGCTTTTTCTGTGAAATCACCGAATGTTCTGAACTTTTCATTATTTATACTAATACTCAAGAGTTATTAAGAACTTTACGGTGACATCTCTGAAGCTTACACATCAGCTTTCTCGGTAAATATACCGAACTCGATTGCCTCAAGAGCCGTCCATTTGATGGGGAGACAGCCGCCATGCGAAGTGTAGAGCGCCTCATTTGAGCTACGACTCAGCCCGAAGTCGGAAAGCTAAATCGGTTATAATGTCGATGCATATGAAATGGGTCAATGCATGTGTAATATATTGGGTCGATGCATATGAAATGGCTAAATTTTTTAGTAATTTTTAATGTTTAGTTCATTGTAAATCCCGACCACAACCTTAGATGTTTTTTGCAAAGTAAGCAGAACATTGCGCGCCGCCACATCACGATGAAGAAGATTTTTTGAGGAGAGGAACTCCTGGAATGTGGAGTGAAATTTTTGCTACTGAAAAAGGATCTAGAAACTGAAACTAGCGCCTAACCAGTGCACTCGCCACCTCCCAGGCGATTCGATACAGATCCTCAACGAAAATTACATTGGTTGCAGTCTGAAACGTGTGGATAACAAAAGATGCTCATATGAAAACAAATATCTACAGTCAAACCTTGATGATATAAACGAATGAAAGGTTAATAGTAAACGTTTTTTCCAGATTCGCAATTAACGAGGATTGATTATAGAAATGTATTAAGACTCCGTCTTGATAAAACTTTAGTACTTTCTAGCTAATACTTTATAAAGATACTTGATGGTCGGTTCGCTTGATGCTGACCAGCTGCGTGTGCAGATTGCCAAAAGCACAGAATTCGGTCAAAATGGACGGATTGTCAAGACTAGAGGAGCATCCCAGAATCGAGAGTAGATATGGATGGAAACCGATCGATTTCATTGTGAAGATCTCTTGTAAAAAGTTGGCTCCAAAAAGTGTCAAGTCTCGTTTCACTTTTGAATGCTAGGTCCTATCACAGTCGAAGCTAAAGAAAAATATACTATCACTCCCCTTAGCATCTTCTTCTTATTCTACTACTCTTTTCTTATTCTACCAAATTTTAAAAGACGAACACATCCTGTGGAGTGGCCGGCTTTTTGACAGCGACCTTTACGAACGTTTGATTGGATGAGAAGGGCTTCTAAAAGATTTACTTTCAGCCTTTAAAAGTGGAAAAGAGAAGAGGAGGCAAATTTAGATTCTGATTTAGATTCCGGTGATTCCGGTGGGTTCTTGATCAGGCTGGCCTTTAAAGGCGTAAGACTGACCTGCCTCGACCTTGATTGAGATCCTAGGTGTACAGTGTTTTAAATTGATTAAAAGAAAGAAAATGTCAAAATGTTTTGCTCTATTCAACAAGCCTCTAAATCGCGATTCGCGAGTAGACACGGCAGCGTTCCACGGTACTCTCCGTAGTACACATCGGAGAAACCTCCTCGACCGATTCGATTTGAAATCGTCAATTGCAGCGAATCGATCTCCCATGGGTCAACGCTTCTGAATATTGGTGAATAAGTTGAAATTGTACATCATCTGCCATGCATGATTACACAAATAGCAAATCTGGGCTCATGCCTCATGTGCGACAATGAAGGCTTTAAAAGCAAAGTCATTTTAATCCCTCACCTGGTGTACTCGATCTGGGAACCTTGCTTTTCGCTGAATTTCATTGAAAATTTGAAAAAACAGAGACAAACTTGCAGAGCTGGTAGGTGTAAAAAATGAGCTGTGAAAGGAAGACGACAATTGCAATTGGAATGAAGATGTAGAAGAGTTTAAAGGACTCTCTCGTCTCTTCGATCTCCTCAACAGGCCTTGTCGGTTCGATGAAACATTCCGGCAAAGAGACATCGAATGAGGTGAGCCGATAGAAAACCGAGAATCGACTCGAATTTGTTGATGTCGGAGTCCATGTGTGCTGAAGAAAAAATAAAAGGATTCATAATCAAGTTCTATTTCGGGCAACGAGCGTAACCCTGAATAACTTAAAACTGTGAGATCCTGTGATCTCAGACAGATCTCAGAACAAATGCACTGGTTTTCTCAAGAATTAAAGGCACATCACGAGTAACGGTTTTTCATCAAGCCACTATTTTGCATAGTAACAATTGAAACGAGTTGACGATTGCTACGGCAACTCACGTACAGTGTGTCTTAGCATTTCTTTGGTTTTTTCCAAATAGAACACTCCCCGTCAACTCTTACCATCAACTCGTCGGCTTGAAGACACAAAAGAAATGGGCCATTTTCAGTGATCCTAAAAGAGAAAAAAATCATGTTTGACTGCTGTAAATGCACTCACTGAAACTCTTTCCCTTGTTCACTGTTGCTGTCACTGAGGCGAATGCTGAGAATTCCACCTTCAAGATCCCGAATTTCGATCATCAGTTGAGGGGCATCGGGGAGATCATCTAAAAAGCAGTCAGCAGTCAGACATTGAACCATTTACCGGCCTTAACATTGGATTTGTTAAATCCTTGACGCCAGAATTATGAGACACCCTCTATTAGTAAACCTTACACCTCAACTCGTGTTTTATCTGAATGTAATGCCCAAAGGCACTCCACATAACTGACCATTCAACGTGTAGGTCCTGTTGATTATTTCAGCCGAGTGTTCCGGATAGTCCACACTCATATCACCGAAGATCGCCGGCGCTGCAACGAACTCTTTTTGTCCCTCGTTGTTTCCCTCTTTTTGTTGATAGGTGAGCGTCCCGAAACATGTGCCACCGTGCAACCAGAAAGTCACCGTCGACATTTTCCAAAGGAGGTTTACGGCCAAATCGTCATATCTGAACGATTGAATACAGGATTTGGCATATACAGGGTGGTGCAGAACCATACGCCACCCTCTAAATTTAAATTTTCTCGGCTCCCGTGCCAGTGGCAAAAAACTGAAAACGTAGTTAGATTCAGGACCAAAAATAACCCTTATAACCAAAAATAACCAAAAATAATCGAAAATCGAATGCCCCCCACATCCGCGCGAAATTGCGGTTTCTATACGATCCACATGTTTGAGTATCCAAAAATGTTCTGAATGCAATGGTGGAAAAAAAAATTATCAAAATCCGTTTTGTGGATTCTTTTAAATCGCATTTTATCAAAAAAATGATTATTTTACACAGAGACAGCCGAACTCCTCTGTATTTGGCCCTCCACTACTCAGTGATAACAGAAAATTAGGAAATGCCAGGGAGTAGACTTTGTGCAATTGTTATCTGGGGTCATTTTGAGACGAAAATCGTATGAATTGGTCAACTCACAAAAAAGTTATAGCAGCTTGAAGACAAAAATGACGTTTTACGACTTTCTGCGCGCCAAAACGTGGATAATACCGTGACCCTTTCTATGGCGAAGAACACATATAAGGAGCGCTTGCAAAGAATATTTTCAATTCGTTTTTTCTTTTTACGGGCTTGTTTTCTTTTTTGATGTCATAATAATTGTTTCTATATTCAGATACCCCATTAATGACCGGATTGCACGGGCTACGTTATAGCGCGCAGAAAGTGGAGGGCCAAATACAGATGAGTTCGGCCGTCTCTGTGTAAAATGATCAATAGCGGGGGTAGCGTATGTTTTTGCACCGGGGCGATTTTCATTTTACGGCTGTTACGTTGTCCCTATCCATGTCGAAGATTTTTGGAGTTTAAGAGTTATTTTTGGGCCTGAATCCTTAATACCGAAGCATCAACTATGCTATGCAAACCTTGGTACATCGAAAACTTTGCGTTGATCCCGTTTGTCTGGTGATGGGATCGGGCCAGCAAATGCATCGTAGCGACACTGATCGATTGTGCCGTTACCCTAGAAATTGAAGATTTCTGAAAGCACTAACAGAACGGCAGATCAGATTAGGGTTTGGCTCAGAGTCAAACGCTCACGATGTAAAGTTCGGGTGTGTAGATGTACTTCCCACGGGGAGCAACGAGGGTTAAATAGCGGCCAAAGGTCGTACTCCAACCCCAATAGATTATCGCATATTTGAGCTCGACGCCGGAGAAGTCCTCCACACCGACAACCGGCGCATTGTCATCTGGAATTTGTCCCGATATTTGGAGTCTTTTGATGACAAGCTTCATGCATGTTACCCCCTTCTTTTTAGATTCCAGTTTCCGACACTCACACATGACGACGTCGTTTCGAAGAACCGAGTAGGCGAAGAGGCAATCACAATGCTCAACGGGAAGCGTCAACCGGATTGTTGCATTCTCTCTCACAACGTTCACCATGTAGTAGCAGTACGGCATCGGGTTGTTGCCACTAGAGTCTGTTCCTTGCGCGTAAGTAATTACTCGAGTCAAATGACTAATTTTTACTTGATTAATCGACGTTTTTTGATCGAGTAACTACGAATAATCCTCGTATTAGTAAATTAAAGATCTTAGACCGTGTTACATGGTGGGTTTTTTTCTCTTTGTGAGATATCGACTTACACTCATAACATCAGAAACCTATCAAGGTACAACCTTAGTTTTGAGCGCAAGTTGATAGCTGACAAAGAACAAAAAATACCACCGTCTACATCATTTTGAGCGCTACTGTAAGTCGCCACTCGCGATTTTCTGGTCGAAATTTTTTTGCAACAATTCTCGCTAAAAGTACGGTCATTTTTCGCAAGCGTGCGTTTTAAAAAAGACATTCACGTGAGAAACACACTCTACTCTCGACTACTGAATTTCTCCGAAACACTCGCAAGGGGCTCAGTATATTCATATCCGTGAATTTTTTTTAACTTATCAAGTTCTGATGTTCTGAAGAAGTAAAAAAACAGTTTGCAATCGAATGGTCTGGTAAATGGAAGCAAACTTTAGCCCGCGACGGCGGTCGGGATGCTGCACTTCGTCATCGATGTAGAGCGGGAAGATGAATGTATCGTTGCACTGGCATGACCCTTGATTGGTCGTGTCGGTGCTTGTGTGGATGCCGACCGAGACGAGAAATGAATAGTTCCCGGCACAATCGCTTGCGTAAACGGTCAATTGCTAAAGGTGGCGACTAGAATTCTAATCACATATAACTAGTTAAATTGTGAGCACTTGTCAAAGCAATCAAATAATCAAAATTCGTGGACTTTCAAAATTCGAAAGAACTTTCAAAATTTTTTCGAGAGACGAAAAAAGTCAGGGTTTAGGGGTTGAGTTTTACTTTCCAAGATTTTCTAAAATTCTAAAATTACTAAAATTAAGATGTGAAAAATCTCAAAATAATTTGATCAATTCTGTCGCCGATAGACCACAAGTTATGGTTTTAGCAGTTTAAATAGCAAATAATTCGGAGAAATTTTTATTATTAAAATAATGCCATAATTGGAATAGGAGATTACAAATATTTCAGAAAAAATATCATGGCAAATTGCGGGCAAAAACAATGGACTGTGATGTCCTCAAAACTAAAATTGATGTTGCGACCCAAGTTGATGAAGAGGCTATCGAAATCGCCGCAGACAAAAGGAATTTAGCCCCGTGCAACTCAGTCATCTCCGGTTCCGAGAAGAAACGAGGAAGGCCAAAAGGAGCTGGGATGAATGAGAAATGAAAACACAGTCTTGAAGTAGCCAATGGAATGAAAAATGGCCAAGGATCATTTGTGAAGCGCAAAATTGTATCCAAAAATGGGACCGGAGGAACTATCATCGCAAAGTTGCCTACCACGGACACGCCGAACACGAGCCCAGCAGCAAAATTTACCAGGATGGAATCACAAGACTTGCCGCTCCCTCTAGAAATCGACTCGCCCACTCCAGGATAAGCTCATTTCCCCCCGTAACGTCTGTTTCGTTTCTCTTTGCCAATGTTCACTCAATAATTTCACAAAAACGTCTTAGTTACGTGCAATTTTTGTCCAGATCTCTCTTACGATGTTCTTGCCTTTTGTGAGACCTGGCTGACTGAAAACACTACATCTTCTATCTTAGACCCCGCCTCTAACTATTCCATAATTCGTTGTGACCGTATCTTTAATGATATCAAAGTTCGGTGGTGGTGGTGTTATCCTATTCATTCGCCGTTCTTATAACTTTTTCCCTGTTACTAGTCAATCAGTCTCAGGTTGCGAGATAATCATTGTTGATATATTCGCTCATTCAGATTCCCCCTCGCGTATCTTTATTGTTTATCGCCTCCCACATGTTAACAACCAGGGTTCTTTCCATCTTTTTACATTTCTTGAAGATTACTTGCTACCAAATCATCCAAATTTCCTTCTTGGCGATTTTAATTTTCCTTTAACTGTTTCTCTAGGACATTTACCTAATTTATGTCCTCCCATTGGTGGTACCCACCATTTTTCTATGTCTTTTAATTTAATTATGCATCATTTTACCTCTCTAAAAGGACCGGATGAAGGTAACCGTGCCTTTTGGAGAGGTAATTTCGGTGCTGTCTCTCTTTCTTTAGCGCTCTTCAATGCAAGGTTTCTTCCCCGATTTCCCGATTAGAGATGGACATCAACGAGTGTTATGCCGACTTCTTTGAAGAGATGAAATCGCTGTTAGACGAAAATATGCCTATTTCAACCAGGTCTACCTTTTCTTACCCCAGTCACATATCTCGAGCTAGGCAAAGGTTAGAAGCAGCTTGGCGTTATCGCGATTCCCCCCATTACGCATATCTAGAAAACAAGCTAACCAAGTTTGTCAAGAAATTTGAGGCCAATATTGGACGGAAAGCCGTTTTTAGTCCTAGTCCCAAAGCTTTTTACTCATACGTCTATTCTAAGATTAATCCAAGCCACGATTCCTCTATTAAATGTATATTTGACCCCCTTCGCAACTCGTTGATTTTCGAAAATCACAAAATTGCTAATTCCTTTGCTCAATATTTCTCCAACGTTTTTGCAGTTGACGATGGTACTTGCATCCCTGTTCTTCCCGCCCCAGCACATACTTGCGCAGCCCTAATCGTCACACCAAGACTGGTCGAAACAGCAATTAGTAAGCTTAGCAATAAGATTTCTTACACCCCAGACGGAATTCCCTCTTTTGTTATACGGAAAACTAAGTTTCAAATATCACCACTACTTGCTAGACTTTTTAATCTGTCACTTCTAACGGCTAAGATCCCTAAATTTTGGAAAGACTCAACGATTTCGCCACTTTTTAAGAAAGGAGATCGGAACGCGCTTGCAAATTATAGACCCATCGCGCTCACCTCCTCCATTTGTAAAGTCTTAGAAATAATTATTCGCGACCACATTATTCATTATCTAAATGAACATAATCTAGTTGATAAAAATCAATTCGGCTTTTTTAAAAACCGCTCTACCTCCGACCAGCTAGTTCTCTGTGCACATGACTGGCTTCTAGCTAAAGCCAAAAACGATCAAACTAGCTGCGTTTTCATTGATTTTTCCAAAGCATTTGATTCTGTTAATCATAGATTTTTAATCGCCAAACTAAATTCATTAGGTCTCCCCATATCCATCACTAATTGGATTGCAAATTGGCTTACCGAAAGGACTTTTCACGTCCGCTTAGGCTCTACCTTTTCGAATGACTTCCCCATTAGTAGCGGAGTACCCCAAGGGAGCGTTCTTGGTCCTCTTCTTTTCCTTATCTATATTAATGACATTAACAGTTCGATCTCCCCAAGCACAAAAGTCAAAAGTCACAAAAGTTCTAACATAATTCTTCGCGCCATTTGTTTCCCTAAAATTGCGACTTATCGCAAGGCTTTTATAACCTATTACCGACCTTTGCTCGAGTATGCCACCATCGTATGGTCACCTTCCATTAAGAAACTTATCACCTTAGTT